ATTACTTTTGGTAAGATTACCATTTTGATTATGTTGATCCTACTTATCCAAGAGCAAGGGTGATCTTTCCTTTTTCTGATACCTTTTTCAATTTCTTCAAAGACTTAAAAGTTCTTGTTATTCAGGTCTTTCACTTGTTTGGTTAGAATTACCGCAAGCTATTTTATGTTGTTTGTGGCTGTTATAAAGGGTAGTGTTTCTCTGATTTCTTTCTCAGCCCATTTATTGCTTGTATATAGGAGGGCTACTGATTTTTTTTTCTGAGTTAATCTTGTATCCTGCTACATTTCTGAGGTTGTTTATCAGCTACAGCTGATAGAGTTCCCTGATAGAATTTTTGGGGTCACTTATATATACTATCGTATCATCTGAATAGTGAAAGTGTGACTTCTTCCTTTCTAATTTGTATCCCCTTGATCTCCTTTTGTTGTCTTATTGCTCTAGCTAGAACTTCAAGTACTATGTTGAATAGACATGGAGAGAGTAGACAGTCTTGTCTTCCTGATTTTAGTGGGATCACTTTGAGTTTCTCTCCATATATTTTGAAGGCATTTTCTTACTTAATGTTTCATCATCTTGGGTGGCTCTAGCTTGTGCCAAGTTGACATAAAACTAGCCAAATACCCTCAGTGTTTTATTTCTGCCCTCTCCTAGGAGCAAAACCATAGAGCTCAAAACATGTATCTCAGTGGTTATAGATAGAAATTATGTTTGGCTTTATTAGTACTTCAGATCTAGTCATATTTTTTTTTAATTTCCTTTCAATGTTGTGTATACATGTGTGTCTTCATGAGAGATTATGTATGTGAGGGCAGGGCCTGAGAATACCCTACAACTGGAGTTACATGTGGTTATGATCCTCCTGACATGGTTTCTGGGAACCAAACTTGGGTCTTTTATAAGAGCAATATATCTCTTAATTGTTGAATCATTTATCCAGCTCCTAAATGTTTTTTCCAATACATGTATTCATTAGTTTTTACTATTTATCTGCATTGTGCATGCGTGTGTGTGTGTGTGTGTGTGTGTGTGTGTGTGTGTGTGATATGTTCCATATGCCATGGTAAGCATGGAGAGAGAGAGAACAGAGGAAAACTTTGTAGTTGGTTCTCTCTTTCTACATTTATGTGGACTGTAGGAATTAAGTTCAGATTGCCAGGGTGTGCAGCAGGCATTTTCCTCACTGAGCTATCTTGGTAGCTCCCTAGTCAAACTTTTTATTTAGTAAATTTATACTGAAGTTGGCCATGATTGTGGTAGATGCATATACTTGGGAAATACTTGCAGGATTAGGGATTCAGGTCAGTCTCAGCTGCATATTTAGTATGAAGCCAGCCTGGGTTGTAGGAGACTTGGTTCAAACAAACAAAGCAAACAAAAAAAAAATTCATACAGTGTTTTGGTTTTAATCTTTTGCAGCAAAAGTGAATGAGCTGTGTGTTAATTTCTGTAGTCTTCTAAATGGTGCTCCCATTGACGCAGAATTTAGGGACAAAGTGCCTAAAGCTAAGTAGATGATTGGAACAATTACATTTTTTCTTTCTGAGCCTTATTTATTTGTTTTATGACACATTTATACATCTGTTTACTGAGTTTATGTTACTGGATTGAGTATATACAGCATGCATGTGGAGGTCAGAGGACTACTTTCAAGAGTTGATTTTCTCCTACCATATGGGTCTCAGAGATTGTACTCTGATTGCCATGCCTAGCAGTAAGCACTTTTACCTGCTGAGTCACACTAGTCCTGAATATAGGTGCTTTTGTTTCTTTTTAATTGTTTGTTTATTTTATGTGTATGAGTGTTTTGCCTATATGAGTATATCATTTATGTGCCTGGTGCCTGTGGAGGTCCAAAAATGATAACCAGATTTATGGATGGTTGTGAGCTATGATGTGGGTGCTAGGAACTGAACCCAGGTCCTTTGCAAGATTAATAAGCACACTAACCATTGAATCATCTCCCCAGACCCCCCAAATCAAGGTTTGTGTGTTTTTTTTTTTTTTTTTACGAGACAGGGTTTCTCTGTATTGTTTTGGAGGCTGTTGGTCCAGCCCAGCCTCAAACTCACAGAGATCCGCCTGCCTCTTCCTCCCTAGTGCTGGGATTAAAGGCGTGCACCACCACCACCTGGCTCAAATCTAGGTTTTTAAACATAAATATTGCTAATGATAGAGCCCTTGAAATCTTAGGATAATTAATTTTCAAGTTTTTATTTTTATTTATGTCTACAAGTCTGTCTGTGTGAATGTATTCTATGTGTAGGGAGGTACCCACAGAGGCAGAAGAGGGTGGCTAATCACCAGGAGCTGGAGTTAGAGTTGGTTGTGATCAGCCCAACATGGTTGCTGAAAACTGAACTCAGATCCTCTGGAAGATCAGCCAGTGCTCTTACCAGCTTGACCATCTTTTTAGCTGTTATCTTTCTCACTCCTATTACCATCAGAAAGAGAAAGCTGATTTTGACACTTGATTATTGATAGATAAGATTTACTGGTGGGCTGGGTGGTGGTGGTGCACGCCTTTAATCCCAGCACTCAGGAGGCAGAGGTAGGTGGATCTCAGTGAGTTCAAGGCCAGTCTGGTTTACAAGAGCTAGTTTGAGGACAGCCTCCAAAGACACAGAGAAACCCTGTCTCAAAAAACAAAAACAAGCAAAACAACAACAACAACAACAAAAAGATTTGCTGATGAATGGTCCTTGTCTTCAGGAATGCAAGTAACGATGTAGAAAGAGGAAAGATCACCGCTAGTCATTTATATATATAAACTGTGTAGATGTGTCCTTCAAATTCTGGAATAGTGGTCCAGTGTATTTCATCATCCTTTCAGGATGGAAGCTGTGAGTTTGTACTATGGTAAGTCTTACTTATGTGTTGTGTGCTCCTTGTATAGATGGAATAGGTGTGGGCGTTCTGGTTGCTGCCAGGTCAGGGATATGTCTGTGGTTTGAATATGAAATTACTGAATGACTTACTGAAATCTTTAGTTCCCAGCTTATAGTGTTGTTTAGAAAGGTTGTAGAACTTTCAGGAGGTGGAGCTTTGCTGCAGGAAGTGGCTCAGTGTTGGGTGGGCCTTAAGATTATATAACCCCATCCTACTTCCTGTTCATTCTCTGTGTCCTGACTGCTGATGCATTGTAACCAAACAACCTCCCATTCCTGCTGCCATGCCTTTCTCTGCATAAAGAGAAGAGCACCACTTGCCACTTACGGGTATAAACTGCACAGATTTGTCCTTCAAATTCTTGAAGATAGTGTTCCAATATATTTCAAGGATTATGTCTTCTTGAACTGTAAGCTAAAATAAACTCCTTTAAGCTGCTTTTTTATTTTTTAAAAGATTTATTCATTTTAGTTCTTATGTGTGCTTTGCCTGTATATGTGTCTGTGAACCACATTTGTGCTTAGTGCCTGTGGAGGTCATAAAAGGGCATCAGATCTTCTGAAACTGGAATTATGAATGGTCATGTAGGTGCTAGGAACTGAATATAGGACCTCTGCAAGAGCAACAGATGCTCTTAATAACTGAGTTCTCTCTCCAGCCCCAGAGTTGTTTCATAGCAACAAGAAAAATAACATACAGATGGCTGAAGTTGGCAAGGGTTGCCGAAGGCTGTTTCATAAGCCACTTTGCTGATACATGTTCTTTGGTTATGGGTGCTACTTGATTTCATTCATGAATTACTTTACCATTTGAAATTAATAGGTCCTGTTTCTAGGGATTATTGTTCCTTGCCTGTAAAATAAGACAGATATACTTGTCCTTAAGGTGTGGCTTACCTTTCCTTTTTTTCTGAGGTTGACTACTCTTGGCACTGCGTGGTAGTCCCCTTATGCATATGAGATGAGATAAGATGAGGAGTAGGTGTGAGTGTGTGTGTGTGTGTGTGCGTGTGTGTGATTGAGAGAGAGAGAGAGAGAGAGAGAGAGAGAGAGAGAGAGAGAGAGAGAGAGAGAGAGAGAGAGAGAGAGAGAGAGAGAGAGAGAGAGAGACTGAGAGATTGATTTCCTGTGTTGGATTATATGGGAACTTTGAACTAGGATAGAATGAAATCCTTGTTTGTAAATGTGAGAATTATGGGTAACTCTGGTTTCTTTTTCTTTTTTCCTACTAGGTTTATTTTCTAGGGACCCAGGCTACTTTCATAATGAAAAGACAGAGATGGACAGGATGATCTCTGACTGCCTGAGAAGTAGTTACCAGGTGTGACTAAAGCATATCCTGTCATTACACCCATAAGGCTGACACGTTTCCATGCAGGCAGACATTTTTCTTAGAGTTTCTGGAAGAAAATAGGACCTTATTCAATGGTTGAGTGATTAGTTGTATTTCTTTATGACTAAATCCTCTCAAACTGTAATCCAGAATAAATCCTTTCTCCCTGAAGTTGCTTCTTGCCATATACTATATCATATCAGTGAGAAAAGTAAACTTTTATTATTGGTTTAGGATTACTGTGAAAATCATCCCAGTATTTCAGTAATTTGTAATTAATCCTCACCCCCTGGATACTGATTGTGTTTTATTGTGTCCCAACAGTTGATAAAGGGGATGAATGTTCCCCTTTCTGAAAAATGTTATCCACCTGTCTCCATTTATCAAATGTATACAGTGTGTTTAATGTGTTTAAATAGAAGGACATAAATGAGAATGAATATCTGGTCTGGTTGTGGGTGAGATAATGGGATATGTCAAGAAAGACATGAGGATGGAGTCTAATCACAGGCCTTTAATTCCCAGCACTGGGTAGGTAAAGGTGAGACAGTAGAGAGTTTGGGGCCAGCCAACCTGGCCAACCCTGTCTTTAAAAATAAGATGTGAAAGTGAAAATTAATAGTAGTGAGATAGATATAAAGAGTACCTGGGCTATTCACTGAACTCTGGCATAGACTACTGGAGAACTTTTCTTTGTAGCATTGAGTTTCCATCCCCAGTCTCCTGTGACCTTGGATGGAGATGTTAGTTGGCTCAAATCCAAGTGTGTGTGATTGTAGGAGTCGGTGACCTTTGAGGATGTGGCTATAAACTTCACCCAGGAGGAATGGACTTTACTGGACACAAAACAAAGGAAGCTTTACAGAGAGGTGATGCTGGAGAACTACCAGAACCTGGCCACATTAGGTGAGGTTCCCCTTGTTCCCTGTAGACTCTTACAGAATAAAAAATGTGTGTATTTTTCTAGTTATATATTGTTATTTTATGGTGTGTGTGTGTGTGTATAATAGTCCACAAACGGAGTTCAGAGGACAACTCTTATCATGTGAGTTCTAGGGATGGAACTTAGGTTGTCAGCTTGGCACCAAGTGCCTTCACCTATGAATTTTCTGCATTTTAGGATTGGTGATGCAGCTCTAAGGACAGTTGAAAATAACAGAGGGCTAGAAAATAACAAAAGGCCAGGTATGGTGGTGTAGGCCTTTAATCCCAGTACTAGGGAGACAGAGGCAAGAGGATCTCTATGTATTTGAGTTCATCTGGGTCTACATAGTGAGTTCCAGAACAACCAGGGCTACATAGAGAGACTCTTTGTCCCCAAAATAAAACAAAAAGCAAAAACAAGAGAGAGAAGAGAGAGACAGACAGACAGACACAGAGAAAGACAGAGATAGAGGCAGACACACACAAACAGACACAGACACAGAGAGGAGAATGAGAAACAGGTCTCTAACTCTGCCCTACATTTTAATCAATTGTGATGGTTTTTAAGATAGTCCTAAAACCACCACTATTGCTAGTCTGCTATACTAAAAGGACATTTTCAGACTCTCTTTGACAAACTGAATCAGAAATACTTAGTTTTATGTCTTGATCATCTCTGTTTTAATGGTCCCTCCACATGATTCTGATGCACTGAAATATTTAACTACTAGTATAATTTTTTTTCTCCATAATAACAAAGATCTTGTGGATGTGGTGGTACATGCCTTTTATTTTTATCTTAGTCCTCCAGGAAGTAGAGACAGGTATCTCTGTGAGTTGAAGGCCAGTCTGGTCTACAAAGCTTTAGGTGAGCTAGAGCCACATAGTGGAGAAACCTGTCTCAAAATTTTTTTCTTTCACTTTCTTTTCTATTTGATTAATATTAGTGCTTAATTTTCTGTTTACATTATTTTTTGTTTGTCACATTGCACATCTAAAAGTCAGTAGACAATTTGTGGGAGTGACTTCTTTTCTTCTACCATGTCCCAGGCATGTAAATCAGGTGGTCATGCTTAGTGTCAAGAACTTTTACCTGGTAACCTGTCCCAATGGTCCAGTATTAGTGTTTTGTCTTGTCCTTGTAACCATCACTTTAGGCTTTAAGGGAAAGAAGTCAGTACCTATTGACACATAAAAGGGCTAGTTACATATTGGGGTCTTTAGCAGTATTTCACTGTTGTTATTGGAACTGTAGTTTCTAAGATATGGGAAGGTATCTCATCAAGCCCAGCTCAAGCTCTTGTTTGGAGGCAGAAGAGTTTAGAATACTCAAGAGAGGAGTTCTCCAAGGTAATTTTTTGGGAGTTTAGTCTATTTGTAATATAGTAGGGACACCCCACCCCAATTCTGTGGATGGCATGGCAAGATAAGAAAGTGCTCTACCACTGAGGTATATTACCAAAAAGAGAAAACTTGAGTCAGGAGGCTGAGACCATTGGACTTGAGAGTTTAAGAGATCTTCATATCTCTAAATTCCCATTAATTTCCTTCTCCTTAGACTTTTTTTTTACAATCTCAATAGTCCAGCTCTTTCTTTTCCTCCTTAATAATTCTGTCTCTGTTTACCAGTACATTTAAATTCCATAATAAATTATTCATTTCTAAATTTCGACTGCCAATTCTCTTTGTGTTTTATGTTTATGTTATTGTCACTGTCGTCATTATTATTGACTACTGGACCCAGGGCCTCTTTTAAGAATATTTATTATTGTTTTAATTTTTATGTGTATGTCTGTGGGCCTGTGCAAGTTCATATGTGCTGTGTGCATACAGGTGTCTGTGGTGGCCAGAAGAAGGTGTTAGGTCCCCTGGAATGGAGTTACAAGTAGTTGTGAGCTATCTGATGTGGTTGTTGGGAACTGAATCTGAGTATTTAATTTATTTTTAAATAAGAACAACAAGTGTTCTTAGTCTCTGAGCCATCTCTCTGGCCCTTAAGGTCTCTTTTATTCTGATGTGGACCTGGATCCCAGCCTGTAAAATTTTAGACATAGCCAAGTTGCTAACATGTAACATAGCTTTGTTTTTAACTTGTTTAATATAAAACCAAAATCAGGGAGATGTATAATCATTGTTTCTATTTCACTGTGGAAGCACTTAAACATGTTTTTTGTTGTTGTTTAACTTCAGAATGGGCTATGCGACTTAAGACTGGAGAGACATTGTTACAGCAGGATATTTTTCACTTAAAAATGTCAAATGAGATACACCTGGTAAGAGTCACAAGCGATATTTCATATTCATTGAAATAGACTGGGTATTTCATGTAAATTTCATCAAAATCCTTCAAAATAAAGAAGTACTAGAGACAAGTAGCTTATATCCATAGTCTAGAAAGATGTTGTAATCCTAGTTTGAAACCTGAGTCCCCATACACACATATTCCTACTTATAGATATTGGGCTTTTAAAACAATTTCATAAAAGCACAAGAAGCCTTTCAGAATTAGAGCAGATGGTATATGATTCTTGCAATAGTATTCTTTCATTGACATTGAGTGAAATACATGTAATTAAAAAGGGAAGAACCATCATCCTTATCATGTTCTTGTCTTTATATGAGTGAAGTATACTAATAAATTTGAAAAGAATTAATACCTTATAATTTTCTTTTAATCAACAGTCAAATAGCTACAATGGAAAGGAGCTTTGTGACTTTAAGTCACCTGGAGAAATCTTCAAAGAACCTTCATGTAGTCTGACACACATAGGTATCCAAAACAGAAGAAACATTTGTGATTTTGTTCAGTATGGACAAGCCTTTCCTACTTGGCCTAAGGAAACCTCTTCTGCAGACAAAAGTCCTGAGTTAAGCCAGTATGGAAAAGATACCAGTCTGATTGCAAGTGCTGTTTATCAGACAACATGCACACAAGCCAATTTCCTCAAATCTAGTGAATGTCAACAAGCCTCTGATAGTCATTCATACCTTCAGGCATCTGGGAGAACTCACAGTGAAGACAAACTCTTTAAATGGGTACGGAGCGGTGATGCTTTTAATCCAGCTATGAGCCATGCTGGGAATGGTCAAATGCGCACTGAAAAGAGATTCTGTGAATGTAAAGAATGTGGGAAAAGTTTTAAATACTCTGCCAGCCTTAATATTCATATGCGTGCTCACACTGGGGAGAAACCTTACCAGTGTAAGGAATGTGGGAAAGCCTTTTCTAGGTGTTACCCACTAACTCAGCACTTAAAAACTCACACTGAAGAGAAGCCCTTTGAATGTAAGGTTTGTGGAAAATGCTTTAGAAATTCCTCATGCCTTAATGATCACTTTCGGGTTCACACTGGAATAAAGCCCTATAAATGTAAGGACTGTGGCAAAGCCTTCACAGGGCGCTCTGGCCTTAGTAAACATTTACCAACACACACTGGAGAGAAGCCTTACGAATGTAAGGAATGTGGGAAAGCCTTCACGTCAACCTCAGGCCTTATTAAACATATGAAAAGTCACATGGGGGAGAGACCTTTTGAATGTGATCACTGTGGCAAAGCCTTTGCTTCTTCCTCAACCCTTATTACACATTTGAGAACACACACTGGAGAGAAGCCCTTTGAGTGTACAGTGTGTGGGAAAGCGTTTACATGTTCTTCGTATCTTCGCATTCATATGCGGACTCACACTGGAGAGAAGCCCTATGCTTGTAAGGAGTGTGGTAGAGCCTTCACTGAGCGCACAAGCCTTACTAAACATTTGCAAACACACACTGGAGAAAATCCCTTTGAGTGCAATGTGTGTGGGAAAGCATTTGCGTGTTCTTCCTACCTTCATAATCACATACGAACTCACACTGGAGAGAAGCCTTATACATGTAAGGAATGTGGGAAAGCCTTCACTGTTTCTTCACATCTGAGTAAACATATAAGAATTCACACAGGAGAGAAACCCCATAAGTGTGAGGAATGTGGGAAAGCATTCACTGTGCGCTCTGGTCTTATAAAACATATACGAACTCACACTGGGGAGAAGCCCTATAATTGTAAAGAATGTGACAAAGCCTTCACTACCTCCTCAGGCCTCCTTGAACATATAAGAAGTCACACAGGAGAGAAACCATATGAATGTGACCAGTGTGGAAAAGCCTTTGCTTCTTCCTCCTATCTTATTGCACATCTGAGAATTCACACTGGAGAGAAGCCCTTTGAGTGTACAGTGTGTGAGAAAGCGTTTACATGTTCCTCCTACCTTCATATTCACATGCGAACACACACGGGAGAGAAACCCTATGAATGTAAGGAGTGTGGGAAAGCTTTTGCTGTTTACTCACATCTAAGTAAACATGTAAGAATTCACAGCAGAGAGAAAGCCTATAAATGTAGAAGTTATGGAATAGCTTTCAGTAGTTCTCATCTTACAGAACACATAAAAACCCAGAAGAGACTGCTTTAGGAAGTTCTGTTGCTTTAGCAGTGCATTCAAATTCACAGTGGCAAGAAAGTTTATTAGTGATTATATACTAGTTAACTTCAAAGATGTGAAATAACTCATGTTGCAAAGATGCCTAATGGGAAGACATCAGAATGCTCAAAATCCAGTTCACATAAACTCACTTTGAAGCTGTACAATGTCAAACATGGAAAGACTTCACTGTTTCATGGGCTTTTTGTAAATATGGGAGAGAAACTCTTGATACACAATGTGGAAAATTGTATTTCTGCTTAGTGCTTTGATTACCTATAGTACCACAGTGGAGGACTTTGTGAAAGTAAGAAATGTTGGAAAGTAATTACATTAGTTATCAACATTCAGTAAACATGAAGTGATCCATGTTTGGGGAAATATATAAAATATGGAGATTGTGTCTATGTCTTAAGATCTTGTGTACTAGCAGAAACTTGACTTTCTTGATAGTTTTATAAATTTGTTTTGACTATTGTTTACATTTTCAAAACTTGAGGTTTTAATATTTGCATTTAATGGCTTTGTAATCTTAAAACTGATTTAAGATATACAAAATTCTATGGAAAATATGTATATGAAACAATTGTCAGATTCCTTAAAATGTGATACAGTAATTTGGTTTTGGTATGATGAAGCATTTTTTACTATCTTAGAAAATTCAGGTGAAGAACACTTAACTATATTCAACTGCACTCTTAAGTTGCTTATCTTGTAACAGAAAGTTTATAACCTTTAACAATAACTCATAAACATTAACTCTTAGCACTTGGTAACCACAATTACATTTTTTTTATTTCTGTTTACTATATCTCTTCCCTCTTTTAAAGACATAGTCTCACTATGTAGTTCTGAGTGTCCTTGAACTCACTGTGAGACCAGCCTGGTCTTGGACTCACAGAGATGTTCTGTCTCCCAAGTGCTGGGATTAAATGAATACACCACCTTGTCCTGTTATACTCCATATTTAAATATGGTAATATATTTTTAATTTTTGTGTCTGGCTTGTTTTCATAACAAAATGTCTTCTAGTTTTATCCCTGTTGTCTTGCATGACAGAATAAAAAAACCAAAAAGGGTAAATTCTACTTCTTTTTGTTTTTGTTTTTTGTGACAGGGTTACTCTGTGTAACAGCCCTAGCGATCCTCATACTAGCTCTGTAGACCAGGCTGGCCTTGAGCTCACAGATATCCACCTGCCTCTGCCTCCCAGGTGCTGGGATTAAAGGCATGCATCATTACTGCCTGGCTGGTATTCTAATTTTTATGCACACTCAAGATATTTGTATATATGTGCATATGTGATGTGTGTTTACATGCATCTCTGTGTATGAATTTGGGCTCTATAATGTGTATGTAGAGGCTAGAGGAGGACCTTGGGTTTCATCCTTGACTTCCTCCTTAAGACAGAGTAAATTTCTCATCTCTCCAGCCCCTATAGAAGTTTCTTTTCACAAAGGAACCCTTAGGTTGTTTCCATACTCTATTGTTGGAAATAAATTGAACTGCTACATTGAACATAGATTGCAAATAACTCTGTAAGCATTCCTTCAGTGTATGCCCATAATCAGTTTGTTGGATTATTTAGTTGGTATATTTATAGTTTTATGTGGAGCTTTGATACTGTTTTCCAGATAGCTCTGTCAGTTTTTATTCTATTCAAAATGACAATATATTAGATGCCTTTTGTTTCTCTTTATTGGCTCAAACTTGTAGTATTATGATGAATATAAGTTCCAAGCAGAAATATAATTGTTCTTGATCTTAAAGGAAAAGCTCTGAACTTTTCACTGAGTGTGATGATAGTCACTGGCCTGTCATACATGTATAGTCAATGATAAAATAAGGTGCATTCATTTCTATATTAAATTTGTTGTATCACGAAAGAGTGTTGACTTTTTAAGTGCCTTTTTGTAACTTTTCTATGGTGATTTATTTATTCTATTATGTGATGTATGACACCTAATTATTGCATATCTTGAATAAATGTCACATTTAGGTGTGAATCAGAACTATAGTGCATGATCCCTTTATGTAGGGTCTTCAAATGTGATGATTAAATTTGTCTATCAAAAGACAGACATGGACTAACAAGATGGCTTACTAGTTAAAGGCATTTCGCATCAAGCCTGATAACTTGAGTTTAATTCCCACAAAACACATAATAGAAGGAGAAAACTGACTCCTGCATATTATCATCCCGCCTTCACATTCATGACACACATGAGCATACATATACCCAAAATAAATAAATGTAAAAATAAAAGACACAAGAAATCCACAGGCTACTCTGGCCAGGGAAGCTATCTTCATCTTTCTCTCTGCTTCTCCAAATCAGAGAAATAATGGAACTAGCAGACATTACGACTCAAGTAGACATAACAGATATCTACAGAACATTTCACCCAAACACAAAAGAATATACCTTTTTTTTAGCACCCCATGAAACCTTCAAAATTGACCATACACTCATCCATAAAGCAAGTCTCAACAGATAGAAACCAATTGAAATGCTTCCTGTATCTTATCAGACCACCATGGATTAGAGCTGCATTTCAACAAGAACAGAAACAACAGAAAGCCACAAAGCCATGAAAACTGAACAACTCTCTACTGAGTTATCACTGAGTCAAGGAAGAAATAAGAGAGAAGTTAAAGTCTTCTTAGAATTTAATGAAAATGAGTGCACAACATACTCAAACTTATGGGGCACAGTCAAAGTGGTGCTAATAGGAAAGTTCACAGCACTAACTCCTTCATTAAGAATTTGGAGAGATCTCACACTAGTGACTTAACACACTTGAAAGCTCTAGACAAAAAGAAGCAGACACACCTAAGAGAAGTAGATACACCTATTAAATATAATGTTAAAGTCTTAGCTAGAGCAATAAGACAATTGAAGAAGATCAATGTGATGTTAGTTTTCAAGATTTACGCATGTTGTATCACACAGTGTTGTATCGCTAGTTTTCAAGAAGTTGTGCATCTAGAGTCTCACATAGTGTTGTGTCCTTAGTTTTCAAGTTATGCTTATAGATTCTCACACAGTGTTGTATCGTTAGTTTTCAAGAAGTTACGCATGTAGTTTCTCACACAGTGTTGTATTGTTAGTTTTCAATGACTTACATGTGTAGATTCTTACAAAGTGTTGTATCGTTATCAAGACGTTACGCATGTAGTTACTCACACGGTGTTGTATCGTAAGTTTTCAAGAATTTACGCATATAGATTCTCACACAGTGTTGTAAGTTTTCAAGAATTTATGCATGTAATTTCTCACACAGTGTTGTATCGTTAGTTTTTAAGATGTTATGCATGTAGTTTCTCACACAGTGTTGTATCATTAGTTCTCAAGAAATTTCGCATGTTTCTCACATAGTGTTGTATCATTAGTTTTCAAGAAGTTACGCATATAGATTCACATGCAGCGTTGTATCTTTTGTTTAGAATAATTTACCCATATAGATTCACATGCTGCGTTTTATCGTTAGTTTTCAAGAAGTTACACATGTAGTTTCTCACACAGTGTTGTATCATTAGTTTTCAAGAAGTTACACATGTAGTTTCTCACACTGTGTTGTATCATTAGTTTTCAAGAAGTTAAGCATATAGATACTCACACAGTGTTCTTAGTTTTCAAAAAGTTATACATGTCGTTTCACACTCAGTGTTATATTGTTATAGATTCTCACACAGTGTTGTATCGTTAGTTTTTAAGAAGTTACACATGTAGTTTCTCAAACAGTTTTCAAGAAGTTACACGTGTAGATTCTCACAGTGTTGTATCGTTAGTTTTCAAGAATTTACGCATGTTGTTTCTCACACAGTGTTGTATCGTTAGTTTTCAAGAAGTTATGCATCTAGATTCATACACAGTGTTGTGTCCTTAGTTTTCAAGAAGTTACGCTTATATATTCTCACACAGTGTTGTATCATTTGTTTTCAAGAAGTTACGCATGTAGTTTCTCACAGTGTTGTATTAGTTTTCATGAATTTATGCATGTTGTTTCTCACACAGTGTTGTGTCATTAGTTTTCAAGAAGTTACACGTGTAGAATCTTACACAATGTATCGTTAGGTTTCAAGAATTTACGCATGTTGTTTCTCACACAGCAATGTGTTGTTAGTTTTCAATGTTACACGTGTAGATTCCCAAACAGAGTTGTATAGTTAGTTTTCAAGAAGTTGCGAATGTAGTTTCTCACACAGTTTTGTATCACTAGTTTTCAAGAAGTTACGCATCTAGAATCTCACACAGTGTTGTATCGTTAGTTTTCAAGAAGTTACACATGTCATTTCTCACACAGTGTTGTAGTGTTTTTTAAAGAAGTTACGCTTATAGTTTCTCACAGTGTTGTATCGTTAGTTTTCAATAAGTTACACTTGTAGATTCTAACACAATGTAACAGTTTTCAAGAAGTTAACATGTATAGGTTTTCACACAGTGTAGGATCGTTTCTTTTCAAGAAGTTATGCGTATAGATACTTACACAGTGTTGAATCATTAGTTTTCAAGAAGTTACACATGTAGTTTCTTACAGTGTTGTATCGTTAGTTTTCAATAAGTTACACGTGTAGAATCTCACACAGTGTTGTATCGTTAGGTTTCAACAAGTTACATGTATAGGATTTCATACAGTGTAGTATCGTTTGTTTTCAAGGAGTTACGCGTATAGATTCTCACACAGAGTTGGATCGTTAGTTTTCAAGAAGTTATGCATGTAGTTTCTTACACAGTGTTGTATCGTTGTGTTTCAAGAAGTTTTGCATATAATTTTAACACAATGTTGTATCATTTTTTCCAGTAGTTACGTGTGTAGATTCAATCGATATTTTTCAAGAAGTTATGTGTACAGGTTCTCCAACAATGTTGTATCATTAGTTTTCAAGAAGTTACGTGTATAGATTCTCACACAGTGATGTATAGTTTGTTTTCAAGAAGTTACACATATAGACTCTCACCCAGTGTTGGATCATTAGTTTTCAATACGTTACATGTGTAGATTCACACACAGTGTTGTATCGTTAGTTATCAAGCCGTTACACTTATAGATTCTCACACAGGGTATCGGTAGTTTTCAAGAAGTTACTCGTATAGATTCTCAAGAGTGTTGTATCGTTATTTTTCAAGAAGTTACGCATATAGATTCTCACACAGTATTGTAGCGTTATTTTCAAGAAGTTACACATATAGATTCACATGTAGTGTTGTGTCCTTAGTTTTCAAGAAGGTATGAATGTAGTTTCTCACACTGTGTTTTATGGTTAGTTTTCAAGAAGTTACGCATATAGATCCTACACTGTGTTGTATCGTTAGTTTTTAAGAATTTTTATATGAAGGTTGTCACGCAGGGTTGTATCGTTAGTTTTCAATAAGTCACAGGTGTAGATTTTCACAGTGTTGTATCGCTAGTTTTCAAGAAGGTACCCATATAGATTCTCACACAGTATTGTATCCTTATTTTCAAGAAGTTACGCATAGAGACTCTCACACAGTGTTGTATTGTTAGTTTTTCAGAAGTTTTTCATGTAGTTTCCCACACAGTATTGTATCATTCGTTTTCAATGTTACATATGTAGATTCTCACATAGTGTTGTATCTTTAGTTTTCAAGAAGTTACACATATAGATTCTCACACAGTGTTGTATCATTAGTTTTTCAAAAGTTATGTAGTTTCCCACACAGTGTTGTATCGTTCGTTTTCAATAAGTTACAGGTGTACATTCTCACACAGAGTTGTATTGTTAGGTTTCAAGAAGTTTTGCATATAATTTCTCACACAATGTTGTATCTTTTTTTCCCAGTAGTTATGCGTATAGATTCAATCGATAGTTTTCCAGAAGTTATGCGTGCAGGTTCTCCAACAATGTTGTATCCTTAGTTTTCAAGAAGTTACTTGTATAGCTTCTTACACAGTGTTGTATCGTTTCTTTTCAAGAAGTTTTCACATAGTGTAGTATGGTTTGTTTTCAAGAAGTTACGCATATAGATTCTCACACAGTGTTGGATCGTTAGCTTTCAAGAAGTTACGCATGTGGTTTCTCACACAGTGTTGTATCGTTAGTTTACAATACGTTACACGTGTACATTCACATACAGTGGTGTATCGTTAGGTTTCCAGTAGATACACGTGTAGATTCTCACACATTGTTGTATCAATAGTTATCAAGCCGTTATGGTTATAGGTTCTCACACAGTGTTGTATCGTTAGTTTTCAAGAATTTACGCATGTAGTTTCTAACACAGTGTTGTATCTTTTGTTTTCAGTAAAAGTGTAGATTCTAAAAAAAAAAAGTGTAGATTCTCACACCGTGTTTTATAGTTTGTTTTCAAGATGTTATGCATATGGATTCACACACCGAGTTGTATCGTTAGGTTTCAAGTAGTTTTGCGTATAATTTCTCACACATTTTGTATTACCTTTCAATTAATTACGCGTATAAATTCACACAGTGTTCACTCGATAGTTATCAAGAAGTTAGGCATATTGTTTCTCCAACAGTGTTGTATCATTAATTTTCAAGAAGTTACACATGTGGTTCCTCACACAGTGTAGTATCTTTAGTTTTCAAGAAGGTACGCATATAGATACACACACTGCATTGTATCGTTAGGTTTCAAGAAGTTATGCTTATAGCTTCTCACACAGTGTTGTATCATTAGTTTTCTAGAACTTACGCATATAAATACTGAGTTTTGTATTGTTAGTTTTCAAGAAGATATGTAGTTTCTCATAGAGTGTTACATAGTTAGTTTTTAAGAAATTATGCATGTCGTTTCAAACTCAGTGTTGTATTGTTAGTTTTCAAGAAGTTATGCCTGTAATTTCTCACACAGTGTTGTATCGTCAGTGTTCAATTAAGTTATATGTGTAGATTCACACAC